CAAAGCATCCAATAATGAAGCTGAGTACGAGGCGCTTATCTCGGGACTTCGATTAGTCGAAGCAACTGGGGTCACAGACTTGATCGTACATTGCGATTCCATGCTGGTGGTCAACAAAGTTAATGGAGAATTTGAGGCAAGAGACCTTAGGATGAAGGCTTACCATCACAAGGCAAGGATTGTAATCCGTAAATTCAGAAAGATTGAGATCAAACAAGTGTCTCGAGACAAGAACACGCATGCCGACGCCCTAACTTGCCTGGCCTCGGCACTAGAATCCTCTCAGTCACGCAGAATCACCATAGAATACCTTCCCACCTCCTGCATAGACCAAACCTCCGAGGCAATGGCCGTCCAGGACACACACAAACCGCCCAGCTGGATTGATCCCTTTCTCAGGTTTCTAATAACAGGAGACCTCCCGGAGTGTTCAAAGGAAGCCAAGAAGATAAAACTTAAAGCCCCGAGGTTTTGGGTCTCTCCGGATCAGAAGCTATATCAGATGTCTTTCTCAGGACCTTACCTACTTTGCGTCCAGGAGGATCAGGTGGAGGACCTCCTCTATGAGGTACATGAAGGAATATGCAGGGGGCACTCTGGGGGGCGATCCATGACACACCGCATCATGTCGCAAAGATATTGGTGGCCGCGAATGCAAAGGGACGCACACGCATTTGTCCAAAAATGTGACCAATGTCAAAAGTTCTTCCCAGCAATTAGGTAACCCACGGGGGACTTGCACCCCTTGACCACTCCGTAGCCATTCGCCCAGTGGGGACTTGACTTAGTTGGATCCCTGCCTAAGGCTCTTGGAAACAGAAAGTTCCTCATTGTGGCCACAGATTATTTCACCAAGTGGGTTGAGGTAGAGCCGTTGACTCACATCCGCGACATAGATGCTAAAAAGTTCATCTGGGAAAATATAGTCATTAGATTCGGGATTCTCCGAGCACTGGTACCGGATAACGAGACTCAATTCACTGACAAACGTTTCAAGTCTTTTTGCGAGCAACTTGGAATCCGTAATTTTTATTCCACCCCTGCCTACCCCCAAGCCAATGGGCAGGCAGAAGCCTCTAACAAAATAATTATCAATGAGATTAAGAAGAGATTGGAGAAAGCTAAGGAAAAATGGGCGGACGAGCTATTGAACATTTTATAGGCGTATAGGATCACCCCTCGGTCCTCGACAGGAGAGACCCCTTACTCCCTGGCTTACGAAATGGAAGCGATCATACCTCTAGAAGTAGGGCTTCCAACCATAAGGACACAAGCCTTTGACACAGGGGGAAACAACCGACAGCTCAGACTGAATTTGGATCTAGCGGAGGAAAGAAGGGAGATAGCCGCCTTGAAGGTAGCCAAGTATCAGGAAAAGATTTCCCAACTTCACAACAAAAGGGTCAAGGCGCGAGAGTTCCAAATAGGCGATCTGGTCCACAGAAGGATAACGGCTAATACCCGTGACCCAGTAGAAGGAAAAATGAGACCTAACTGGGAAGGGCCCTACAAAGTGATATCTGTTTGAGGCTCCGGGTCATATAGATTAGAGGATTTGGAAGGGAAACCTATAATACGACCTTGGAATGTGATAAATCTAAAGAAATACTATTTTTGAGTATTATCTCCTTCAGTGCTCACCAACGGCAAAGTTAAAGGGTAAGGCCCTGGGGACAGAGTTCAAATTCAAGGACTCTTACACCCTGAAGAAAAACACAGGAGCAAGCCTCCTAGAAGGGTAAGGCCCTGGGGATAGAGTTCAAGGACTCCTGCCCCCGAAGCACACACCAGGAGCAAGCCTCCTGGAAGGGTAAGACCCTGGAGACAGAGTTCAAGGACTCCTGCCCCCGAAGCACACATAGGAGCAAGCCTCCTAGAAGGGTAAGGCCCTGGGGACAGAGTTCAAGGACTCCTGTCCCCGAAGCACACACAGGAGCAAGCCTCCTGGAAGGGTAAGGCCCTGGGGACAGAGTTCAAGGACTCCTGCCCCCCGAATCACACACCAAGAGCAAGCCTCCTGGAAGGGTAAGGCCTTGGGGATAAAGTTCAAGGACTTCTGCCCCCGAAGTACATACAGAAGCAAGCCTCCTGGAAGGGTAAGACCCTGGGGACAGAGTTCAAGGACTCCTGCCCCCGAAACACACACTAGAAGCAAGCCTCCTGGAAGGGTAAGGCCCTGAGAATAGAGTTCACGTAAAAATACACGCAACAAAAAACCTTTCCAAAAACCTATACTCAGTGTTTTCTTCTTTCCCCCTCTCAAATACTGACTTGATCGTCGGAGGGGATACACCGGAAAATACTCTGCCGCCCTTCTAACTTGCCTTTCTTTGTTCCAGGAACCTTGCTTAGCCTTACTGGATCGCTCCGTTGATCCACGTGGGTCTTCCATTATCGTTCCAGGTTACCACATGACCTCACAGGCTATTCCCAATAGCAAGGTTGACCATTTGATTGACTGACTCGAGTTCACCACGGGAGAGATCTGTTCTCGTATTTATATTGTGTAAGATCCTGCACACACAATTTTTATCTTATTTGGAAAAAAAAAACTTAAACACGGCACCGAACAAAAATAGAGCACCGAACAACGACCCATGACATTGCTCAAGAACGTCATCACAAATGGCCCCTGTCCCCAATTCAAACCAAAAAAAAATTCCATCCCCTTTCATTTTTATTGCATAAAAATTAACATTTTTTTTAAAGAAATCAAAATTTATTTCATTTTTCAAAAAAAAAAAAAAATTTACAAGAAGCAAAGTATTCAGTTCACATAGCTTTTGCATTAATTATCCAGGAGCCAAGACATACCCAGATGAGAAAAAATATGATGCACCAAGATTTTTAGCAAATTTTAAACTAGGATTAAAAGAGAATGTGATCAGAGTTGACAGAGATAGAGAGTGTGGCCAATTCATGAACTTCATCTAAAATCATTTTCTCTAATCCAACTGCTTCACCCATTCCATAATCAAGTTAAAAAATATTTATCAAGACCATCAAACATTCAAGAATTCAGACATACATAAATATATAAGAGTATATGTTAGTTCAAATACACACACAAATTAGGGGGTGGCAAACCAGTAGCACCATTTATACAGATCGAATTTTTAATATTTTTTTCTGGTTTCTATCCATGGCTACAAAGCCCGAAGAGAGAGAGAGAGAGACGGGCATACCTTCGCTTGTGAGGGGGGACCGGTGGGTGAGCGCCGTTCACTGGGGGGGGGGACCTGTGGGTGAGCGCCGTTCGAAGCAAAGGGGGACCAGTGGGGGTGAAACTGCAAAGAAGAGAATAAAAACCTTAGTTTTCTATTGTACAAGGGTATTTAAGTAAATATGTAGATATCCTATTGATTTCACCGGCCATCCCAAATTTCAGGTGGGATCTAAAAATCCGGCTCGGAGGGGATATGTGTCCCCAAAACATTCGCCCTGATCTTTTGAAGGCAACGAATATCCCCTCCTCAATTCTCTTGCCAAATCAAGGATTAGTGGATCCCCTGGATATTTATAGTTCAATCCCTCTTGGTATCCGCCTTTATCTGACGCCCCAAACACCCCCTTAAAGTATATACATAAAATTTTATTTAATCCTTAAAATTTTAATTGATACAATTATATTCTTAAAGTTTCATCTAAGTTTTAATCTAATTTTTCATTCCGATGAATTAATTTGTTCTAATTGAAAAGCATTGTATGATTTGTCCACAAGGGTCTAAAAAAAATATCTCTTTTAAATAAATTGATTTTTATTTCTTTGTCTCGCAATATCCTTTAAATTCTCTCTATATATCTTTCTTTTCAAATTTGTTATTTTTTTTTATTTTCTCAAAATCGGATTAAATAATTTATGTTTTTTTAGCCAGCAAGCAACAGAGAATTAAGAGAGTGGCCCTATTTTTACTTTGGTGAGGGACCACACTATTTTCTCACTATATTTCTTCCTGGGTGCAATTATTTTTTTATTTATTGGAAATGGGGTGAAGTTATGTTTACACTAAAAATTTGTAGAGTGAATTACACCCTAGTTCTTGAGGTATGTCATTTGTTACACTTGTGTCTTTGAAATTTTAATTTTGTCAATTTTGTCTTTCATATTAACGTCGTAACTCATTTTGATTTTTACTCTTAACAACCGTCCAAAAAAATAATGAAAAACCAGCCGCATGACTGCTGTTAAGGGTAATTGTGTTATTATCCAAAACATCCCTAATCCAAACACTTTTATTCCAAGTTTAGAAAACATTAAGCATGTACTCTCAAACACACTTCTTCTTCCACCTCAAATTTGGCTGTTTCTTTTCTATCTCTCACATGGCAAATAGCACACACAAACACAATCTCCCCCCATTTCTTTCCAAACAACACACAACACCAATCTCCTCTCTCTCTCTCTCTAAACAACACAAGGGTGGAGGCGGCGGCGGCTTGGTGGTGGTGGGCACCATGGCTGTTCGCTAGTTGTGAGAAAGAGGAGAGAAGGGTAATCTGAACAACAACATACCAAGATCAAACACACTTCTTCTTTTCTTTCTCTCTTTACACAACAATCACATGTTTCTCTCTCTTCCTATGCACCGTACACACTACAAACACCCATAGCGGAACTAACCCAACTTACAACTCACCCCCAAAAACCACAAACATCTTTCGTTGGCAACTATACAACACAAGCCTCAAATACTTGCAATCTCGATATCTACTTATTTTTCCAGTTCTTAACATAAGGCTACCTCCAATAGGTTCCATATAGTTCAGGCACTACTAATCACAATGCATAACTCACTATACCATTTATATTACATATACAAAACCCTTGTGAATGATTCTTAATGCTTAGCAGAAATCAAGGGTCTTTCTTTATTGCAGAACTCATCACCAACAGACACACCAAAGTGTCTTTTGTATTAAAATGAACACCCAAACAAAATGCTAAAGCTCACAGAGAAAAACAACACAAGTTCAAGCAGAAACAGTGTAATATGTATCTCTTACTCTAGTCCAAGTCTCTTTTTCATCCCCAGAACGAAGTCATAGACCGTGTGAGGATCAGTAAGAGACTTGGACACACTCTCCTTCTCCATGCACCATTTGACCCATGCAATCAACTTGGGGCACTCAGACTCTATGCTGAAATTTCCAAACTTCTCGTACGCGTAAAACCAGCAGTAATATCCAATAAGAGATATGTCTGTCAATCCAAAGGTTTCACCCCCAAAATAAGGCTTGTCACCAAGCTCTCCCTCCAGCACCTTAAGGATTTCTATGAATTCCTTCTTGGCCGCTTCTTGCTCTTCTCCTTTTGTGGCCCACACATTCCTCGCAACAGCATACACCTGCGTTGCACGGTATCACAACGTTTAGCAAAAAAAGTCCCCAATCAAATTTATGAGGTTTTTTTTTACAATCCAAACACATCAGCATTATACAAGCTTTACCCCCACCATCTAAGTATACCCACGAGTGAAATTGCGTAAAAGTGTATGAATGGAATCCCATTCTCAACATTTATATGACAAGCTTTCATTTTCTTGTTTATTTTCATAGGTACCTCCTCATGGTTTACCCCAATTGCAGGTAACCTCCCAGAAGTCTTGTCTTAAAATGAATTTTCCCCTATTTTCATTAATACAAAGATTAATTCTTGAAAATCTGCAATATTTAGATGAAGATCAATTCAATCTGATGAAAAAAATGAAGAAATAAGGGTATATAACTATGTGCTAAATAAAGTAGTACAATGAACAAAGATCAAATAAGATGAAAGCATACTACACAAGCTAAGTAAGATCAATAATTTTTTGTTGACACTTTACTAGCATGAATAATGTTCTCCATGCCCTGGTAAGATGCTTCCTCTCAATAATTTGTATCCCTGAGAGTGCTACACATGCTTTGTAGCTCTCTCATTCAGTAATTTTCTAATTTTAAGTATCTTCTATCTTTTCTTTCACTGGGCATTAGGCTTCACCTTGTCACCATGTTCCTATTTAATTTGTAGTCTGATGTATAAATTTCAGGTAATTTATCCCTTATCAGTATGGCTGCATTGATGGCAAGTGCTTTGGCTTTCTCAGTCAAGATAGCACCAGGTATCTGGATCTTTTACCCTCTTATGTAATTTAGCATTGAATTATTTATTTTCAAATTTAATGATACTGCCCCTAAAAAATCCAACAAGATTTCTGGATTTGAATGGTGAACTACTGTTATAATGATATTTCACATTTGCACAATGTTTGGATTTTTTCTGCTGGTTTTCTCATACGAAGGTATTGCACATATTGATTCTGATTATCAACAAACTATCATATTCCCACAGTGAAAATTGATGGTCTGTTCACGGGGCAGAATCCCCTGAATAAGCATACTGGATTTAGTTGCGTGCAGTTTTGGAAACTATTTCAACCTTTCGACAGTTGCAGGGTGGCCATTCGAGCATGTGCTCGACATATTGATACAAGAAGACCCATCACTCTTCAATATGTGCAGCAGCTTTAGTGAGTTTGTCTTTGCACATTCTTATCTCCTGAATTTTATTTTTATGTCCCCTGAGCCTACATTGCCACCTGGTGGCGGTGGCCATGGAGGAGTAAACCTTTAAATTTGGACTAGGGAATAGGTTTCTAAATTTTTGAACAAATTTGAGGAACGGGCCTATGATTCATAGCTACCAACACTATAATATGAAGCATTTTTCAAGCCCTAGGGATGATCCATCGTCGTCGTGTGCAGGTACTTTTCAATCTTCAAGCAAAGGACTTTAGTAATTACTAGAGTAGTTGTTGTGAAATAGGATAAATTGGTGCATGAAGCATGAGATACACTTCCAGAAGACTAAATTAAACATATGGTTCTCAAATTATGACTCTTATATTAATTAAGTCTTTGAATTGTATTTTTGTATCAATTAATTTTTTATATTCTCTAATTATGTCAATTGAACCATTTTATCTGCCTCCATTAGATTTTCTTACGGAAGTGACAGAAGTGATGCAAATCAAGAATTGGTTTGTCTGCCTCCATTAGATTGACGTGACACAAATTAGTCAGAATAAATTATACATATGACCTTTAAACTATAATCTTTCTATCAATTAAGCCCCCAATTTTTTTTTTAAGCCCTTGAACGCGTTAGTTGTGTCAATTGAGCCCTTCTCTCTTTTGTGTTATATGGTCACGTGAGTGGCAAATTCTAACGGAGGAAGACAAAATGACTCATTTGATATAATTAGAGACTTTAAGAGCTCAATTGATAAAAAAAAAATTTAGAGACTTAATTGACATAAATGTCATAGTTTGAGGGTCATATGTATAGTTTATTCCACCTTAAAACCGCCCATCAATTTTGATTTTTTTTTAAAATCTTAAATCACCTGCTGAATGATTAAATTCATTTGAATCCATGATAACTATCAACATTGGTGGTTCAAACAAAAAAAAAAGTCTTTTTTGTGTAATTTCTTCCGGATAGGTCCAAGACAATGAGACACTCAAATGTCAAGTCCAACTACTTTTGCTCCTTTTGTTATGTTGCCTTGTGTACTACTCTTTCTTTCTGTTTGGCTATTGTCGATTGTGTTCTTTTGAGTACATTGGATGAAATTGAAACAATACAATGAAGATTAGTATTTACCCTTGCACAAGAATGTCACACAAATCAAGAAATGGTTTGTTTGCTTCTATGTACATTTTCTTGTGTGTAAAGCTGATGGCATACGTCAAAGTTGGCACAACCAACAAAGATGTTGCACATATTGATTCTGATTATCAACAAACTATTATGTTCCCACAGTGATACAAGAAGACCCATCACTCTTCAATATGTGCAAGCAGCTTTAGTGAGTTTATCTTTGCACATTCTTATCTCCTGAATTTTATTTTATGTCCCCAGGAGATCATCAGAAGTCTTACTATTTGGTTCATCTCCCTTTATAGTTGAATGAAAAATTTATGCACCTTACTACTGGAATCATGAAAAATTAAACCAGTAATCTTGGAAAACTTGTTTTTTAATTTTATTTTGGATGAATTTCATCCATTTGTATCATGATTGGTAATAAGGTTTACCTTTGCATCGACTGAACTAGGGTCTAATTTGAATTTCGGAATAAAGAGATTGTATCCTGTTCAACTCTCCAAGCACTCATTAGATACTAGGGACCACATTAGGTAATTGCATTTGTTATTAGACATTCCATTGGACACCTTAGACTGTAAACCACACAAAAAATTATAATACAGTTAAAAAACAATGTTATGCATTTTCTTGTGTCTTCATTTAGAATTTACAGAGAAAAACCACTGGAACGAAGAGCGAGCAAAAAACCAAGAAGCATGCACTTGAAGAGAATTGCATAATGTGTAGCTTTGTTGTCATTGATGTCTCAAATACATAATTATGTTCAATAAGTTTAAGATTCTGAGCTATCTCTAAATTTTTCAAAGTATAGCGGCAAAAGACAATAATGTCCAATGCTCCATCTAGAGGTAAGCAAGAGCTTGTTTCTTTCTTGACTGAATCATAGCAAGTTCATGTTTTTGCAGGATGTTATTTCCCATGATACTAGGATTATTTGTGCACATTTCTGCATTGGGCTCATTCTCATCATCTTATATCATTTTGAAGGTTTACATTTTCTTTTCCTCCACAAAAGCGCCACCAAAACTTGATACCCGTGAGCCTACATTGCCACCTGGTGGCGGTGGTGGAGGAGGAAGTGCCCGTGGAGGTATAGGCTTTTAAATTTGGAGTAGGGAATAGGTTTTTAATTTTTTGAACAAATTTGAGGAATGAGAGCCCATGATTCATAGCTACCAACACTATAATACGAAGCATTTTTCAAGCCCTAGGGGCGATCCATCGTCGTCGTGTGGATGTACTTTTCAATCTTCAAGACAAAGGACTTTAGTAATTACTAGATCTGTTGTTGTGAAACAGGATAAACTGGTGCATGAAGCAGGAGACACAGTGAGTAGGTTGGCAAGCAACCAAAGCACTAGTGGATACACTTCTATATGACTCGCCTAAAAGATTAAATTACACATATGATCTTCAAACTATAACCCTTGTATCAATTAAATCTTTTATTTTTTAAATTTTTTTGTGTCAATTAAGTTCCTAAACTCTTTAATTGTGCTAATTGATACATTTTGTTTGCCTCCATTAGATTTTCTTATAGAAGTGACAAAATATGTTATTCAAGTGACACAAATGAGTTTGAATAAATTACACACATATAACCTTCAAACTACGAGACTCCGTTAGAATTTCTTGTGGGTAAAGCTGATGGCATACATCAAAGTTGGCACAACCAACAATATGTATCAAAAATTGGTATGACAAATTGTACAAATATTTTCTATTATTATTATTATTATTATTATTGATGATACCAAAAACAATATTTTTTTTACGCAACGGTACAAATATGCTTTCCAGCAAAGATGGAGCTCTTCTTTGGCCATGACCCATGGCCTTGCTATCTTTTTTTTTTTTTTATTTTAAGTTTAACGGTAAGAATATTCAGATCAATACAAAATATAGAGTATAGGGTATCTCTTATATTTTTGAAAACCCCCATCTAGGTATATATATTTGGTTTCCTTGAAAGAGTTTGACCCCCCTAGATTTAGTAATTAGAATTTTAGTAATGGAATAAAATATTTTAACTTTGGACCCATATGATATCTTTTAATTAAATATTCTCATTCTAAATGGACAAGTAATTAAATATTACAATCTTTTTCAAATGTACATAATTTCCCAACGTGAGATTAGGCAAGTAGGTAACCAAAGCCAAGGTATTGACCTACCCAACAAAGATTCATTGAAGCCTTGATTTACTGTAAAAAAAATTAGCAATACTATATGAATTTAAAAAATATATTAAAAGTTTTTTAGAATTCGACTACTACTATTTGTTTAGCAAATCAATCGGTTAGTATCTCAATTTAAATTAAATGAATATGTATTCAATAACTATTTTTTTTTTGTTTTATTTTATATTTCTTGTGGTAATTTTATTTTTAAATTGAATACATTTCTTTGTTCGATATGTTTGTATGAATTAGAAATAGGATATATTATCCATGTCGGTAATCTAATGTTGTAAACATAAGACTTGGCTCTACATGTGCCCACAAAGATTCGTTGGAGTCTCGACTTAGCATTTGAGATACAGACCGGAGATGCTCTAGAGACTGCATTTTCTGGCCACAAACGCAGCGGAGGAGCCCACCCCAAGTCTCTGTGATTATGACGAACGCAATGACGTATATACTCTCTAGAGTCTAGAGTCTAGACCCATCTTAGAAATTCAGAAGAGTCCAATATACCGCCGAAAGAGTGGTAATTCAACATAATGAAAAAGACATTTTTTGGTATCATGCTGAATATTATTATTTTTAAATAATTAAATTAATTAAAACAATTTATGATTGATCATACAAATATTATGATTTGGATGAGTTGTAATTATTTTTTCTTTTGCCAAGTATAACTTGATTTTTAAAAATTATAATTTTCTTGATCAATTATAAAAATTTGAAATCAATTTTATATATATATATATATATTTATGATACTAATCGTCTTGATTTATACCAACTATTTGTTCAATTTTTGAATCGGTAATTGTAATTCGAGATAATTTAAAAATATATTTCTTAAAATCAAAGAGTGACTAATTCATAAGGGTATTGATTATATTTTTTACAATTATTAAGTTATATCTCAAAATATAATAAATTTTGATACCACGTAATATTTTGATAGTACCATAATAAATTTTTAATTAAATATTAAATGAATTTCGATAACGTAACCATGCGGACAGTCCCGAGAGAGAGAGAGAGAGAGAGACGCTCCCGAAGACCACGAAAAATCCTATAAATTAGTCATTCGTAATACCAAAGCCATTGCAGTTAACACAAAATATTCATTTTTGCGAGGGATAACAATGGCTGATGAGGTGATTCTGTTGGATTTCTGGCCGAGCATGTTCGGCATGAGGGTAAGAATCGCACTTGCAGAGAAGGGTATCGAGTATCAGTACAGGGAAGAGGATTTGATGAACAAAAGCCCACTGCTCTTGAAGATGAACCCTGTTCATAAGAAAATACCAGTCCTGATTCACAATGGAAAGCCGGTTTGCGAGTCTCTCATTGCTGTTGAGTACATTGATGAGGTCTGGAAGGACAAAGCTCAGATCTTGCCTTCCGACCCATACCAGAGAGCTCAAGCTAGGTTCTGGGCCGATTACGTTGACAAGAAGGTATATAAGCCAATGAATATCATTTTTCATAGATACAAATCATATAAATAACTCTATCTCTCTGTGTGTGTGTGTGTGTAGTGTACACATTTTTTGTTGGGAGTCATATACCAGTGTACAGGGTAAGAATAAACTCCAAGTGATGGTTATTGAACATTTCTCAGAACATAAAATATGATATGGGGTCACTCTTAATCTTACTTAGTGTTGTGATCGTGCAGTAATTATGGTGAATAGTAAGGAATCAAACAATTAAGAAAGCAGCAGAAAATAACACACAGAGATTTACGTGGTTCGGCAATGTGCCTACATCCACGAGAGCGAGCGGCCGTTCTTTTCTATTATAGAATAGGGGTACATCTTAGGGGTACATCTTAAGTATTTATATAACCCTAATATGGACGTATTTACAAAAATACTTATGTACCGTACCGCGGGGCGTTGCTCCGCACCCCCAACTAATCAGCGTCCCTTTTATATCAATCCCGCATGGCAAATGCCGTCGCGGGCTCCGCTGCGCTCCGGCATCTGCTTCCTTGCTATTATGCACACAGCAAATATGAGTCACACATACTCTAACACTTAGCTTGTGTATTATGCTTTCTTCTTATTTGATCTTTGTTCATTGTACTACTTTATTCTGCTGATCTTCATCTAAATATTGAAGATTTTCAAGAATTATAATCTTTGTATTAATGAAAATATTCAATAAAATAACAGCTTGTCATATGAATGTTGAGAATGGGATTCCATTCGCAATTTCACTCGTGGTGGGTAGATCATCTACCAAGAATTTGTAGGATCCACTATTTACAGAGGGGTGTTACCCGGCCCTCTCTATATACATGATGGATGGCCTACCATTGAGTGAAACTAGGATAGCGCATACTTAGATGGTGGGGTAAAAGCTTGTATAATACTGATGTGTTTGGATTGTGAGAAAAAACCTCATAAATTTGATTGGGGACTTTTTTTGCTAAACGTTGTAATACTGTGCAACGCAGGTGAATGCTGTTGCGAGGAATGTGTGGGCCACAAAAGGAGAAGAGCAAGAAGCGGCCAAGAAGGAATTCATAGAAATCCTTAAGGTGCTGGAGGGAGAGCTTGGTGACAAGCCTTATTTTGGGGGTGAAACCTTTGGATTGACAGACATATCTCTTATTGGATATTACTGCTGGTTTTACGCGTACGAGACGTTTGGAATTTTCAGCATAGAGTCTGAGTGCCCCAAGTTGATTGCATGGGCCAAAAGGTGCATGGAGAAGGAGAGTGTGTCCAAGTCTCTTGCTGATCCTCACAAGGTCTATGACTTCGTTCTGGGGATGAAAAAGAGACATGGACAAGAGTAAGAGATACATATTACTCTTTTTCTGCTTGAACCTGTGTTGTTTTTCTCTGTGAGCTTTAGCATTTTGTTTGGGTGTTCATTTTAGTACAAAAGACACTTTGGTGTGTCTGTTGGTGATGAGTACTGCATTAAAGAAAGACCCTTGATTTCTGATAAGCATTAAGAATCATTCCCAAGGGTTTTTGTATATGTAATATAAATGGTATAGTGAGTTGGGCATTGTGATTAGTAGTGCTTGAACTATATGGAACCTATGGGAGGTAGTCTTATGTTAAGAACTTGAAAAATAAAAAGATATCGAGATTGCAAGTATGTGAGGCTTGTGTTGTAGTTGCCAACGAAAGATGCTTGTGTTTTAGTCACGAGTCTATAAGATGCGCCATCGGAGCACTATGTCGCCAATTAGATGAGAATTACTAAGCCGAGCAAGTCAGAAAAAAAAAATATCTTGGAAACCATGCAAATTACCATAGCCTAGGAATTGTTATAAACTAGTTATATCTTTGGGGATGTTGATTATGGTGAACTCGAATCTTCTACAGAGACACTGGAATATTTATTCGTCTATTGCTTCAAGATTCTAGCTTTCATATTTGCCCTTTCATTAGCATGGTATGAGAGGTTCTAACTTAATCAAACCACAAAATTCAAAGCCAACATCTCTTGCTCTTTTATGCTATGGAAGTATGAAAATGGACCACTTCCCCTGTTTTTGGATATCCTAAGAATCAAAGAATATGGACAAGATATTATGTATGTCAAGAAGTAAATCATAAGAATGTCATCCCAATATGTGAAACTCTCCGTCAATACGGAGTGTGGAAAGGATCACACATGCATATTCTTACTGTAGCATACAAAAAACTATTCTTGTAACTTTGATCCGTGATGTCCATATCACGGATTAAACCAAGCAAGACACAACCAAGTATCTCCTTTATTATAACCAAACCAAGCACAAACTTTCTCAAGAGGCAAAACTACATACTAAAAAAATATTTATAAGCAGAAGCACACAGCACACTCATATACACACACAAACTTCCTACTCTATTCCTAGTCTCTTCGTCACTTGAAGAACTAAGTCATAAACCTGGTGAGGCTCAGGAAGAGATCTGGAGACGCTCTCAATCGGGTGGGATGTATTCGGATTAAGTTTTAGCGGTTTTGTGTTAAAAAATATTTCACTCATATTCAATTTAAATATTAATTTGTATTTAACGAATCATGTCATATCGGATTTGTGTCGTAAATAAATCGTGTGTAATTAGTATATGAATAAATCTAATTTTTTTGATCCATCGCCGATTCGTAATTGTATCATGTAAAGATCTAGTCGTTTATCAAATTCGCGGCTTAAAAAAAAATCTACACTCTTTAAATTTGTGTCATCACCAATTATGTCATATTTTCACAAGTTTTGACAGTTTTCCTGAAGGGACCTAAGCAGGGAAATTGTCATGATCAGGTTTCCGTGTTGATATTTGCCTTTGACTAGTAATGGGAAGAAAACAGATAGTTCCCGTATACTCCAAGTCATGTTATGTTGTCCCTTTGTTCCATTTTTTGCGATTGTGTTTTATTCATTAATTATTTTTAAAGTGTGAACTTGGGTCGATGACAAGTATTTTTTCACAAATTTGGTATATCGTGACATTTAAATTGGGGTGACACTTATCTCTATGGACTATAGTAAGTGAAAGTCTTGTGCAATACGACATCTAGATTTGAGAAATGGGCTTAGGAGATTATACCTTCTAATCAAAAATCCTTATGAGTTCTTCACAAAATCCTACACAAATACCTCCAGATCCTTGGCAAAATCCACAGCCAACCTTCGCCTCATTATTTACTAAGCCAAATCAAGCCTTCAATCCTATTCCACAAGAGGACTCCTCCATCAAACTTGTTAAGCCTATAGTGTTTTATGAAGGAAGTCCTGCTTTTTATTTCACAAATGAAGAGGTTCAAGCTTCTTGTCAATCTTTACAATTAGCTTTGATTGGTAAATGTGCCTACGGCAGGCCTTCATTGGGAGTAATCAAGGTGGTCATAAGATTAAAGTGAAACTTGAAGGGGGATTTTGAGATAGGTTCCATTGATCCAAGACACATTCTGATCAGATTCAGTCTGCATGAGGATTGTGCGTGCTGGATCTTGCACAATATAAACACGATAATAGATCTCTCCCTTGGTGAACTCAAGTGAGTCAATCGAATAGTCAACCCTATTGCCTGGGACAGCCTGTGACGTCTGGTGGTAACCTGGAACGGTAACGAGAGACCCTCATGGGTCAATGGAACGATCCAGGAAGGCTGAGGAAGGTGCCTGAAACAAAGAAAGACAAGTTAGAAGGGCGTCAGAGTGTTTTCCGGCGTATCCCCTCCCACGATCAAGTCAATTTTTGAGAGAGATGAAGAAGAAAACACTAAGTATAATTTGTAGTAAAGGTTTTTTTTGTTCTTTTCTACCTTGCCTTTTGCGAGGAGTATTTATACCTCAAATACTCATGATTGCTGTCAGTGTGGTCAGTAGGTGATCATTAGATACAGGCAACGTGCGCACTGATTCCTACGAGGAATGTCTTCTCTTTTAATTGCTTGGGATCCCGAGCAACCGAGGCTATGTCATCAGCATGCCGACTGTTTAATGAGCTCCTCTCGGGAAGGATGTAATAAATGTCCAGCCTTAAAGACATTTATTGTCTTTCACCTCCGAGCCTTACCGCATTGCATGCAGTCTCATCAAGGGAAATGGTGTAATTAAATGCTTGTTTTCCCAAGTCGTGTGTCAGCAAGGGCATGCAGGCTTTCTGTCTCTGATGTGACACAATATGCCACGCGTCCATTCCCCATTGGCTGTGGCCCCTGCCTTCCTCTGCCTTCTAACAACAATTGTGTAAGACGAGGTCATGATAGCTAACCTAGCCTAGCCTAGGCTAGTGACCTGTACATCAGTAACTCTGCAGGAGAAGAGAATGTCATCCTGGACATTGGTACATATCGGTACCGAGGGGGATTGGTACATATAGCAACCGATGTACTTATATCAGACCGAGGGATACGTGTCGGTACGTAAACGTACTGGATGTTACTTGATCCCTATGACAAATACCTCGGGGGAGAGGGACTTTGTGAACCGATGGGTACGTGATCTCAGTAACAAGGATTAGTGACACCGAGGACACGTGTCTTCATCTTGGAGTCTTTCAGAAATGTCCCATCAACTGCCCCCCAGCCTTCGATCTTCTGACACCGAGGACACGCGTTGTAAGGAGACGAAGGGTTTTGCAACAACCTCAACTGCTTCATTATTGTCCCTAGCCGTTTTTCCCTGCTTAGGACATCGTGCGCATTAAATGCGTCTTTTCGTGCTTTGCGCCCATTGATGGGATATGCACTATATATAAAGGGGCTTCCTCTCTTCTTCTCTTATTTCGTCATTCTGAACTTTCTCCAGAGAGTCATTGCTTGAATCTTCGTCGAAGACCTCTTTCCTTCCGTTGTCAACTGCCCAACCTTTTCACTGAAGTTTTAAGGCCAGCAGACCCATCCTTGCTTCTGAACATTCTGGAAGGAGTCGATTCAAGTTTTTCAAAAAAAACTTCTTTTTACACTCTGGTGAGTCCTAGTATCTTCCCTTTCTTCGCCCCTTCTGTCTCTTTTGGTTTTTCGATAAAGGAAGGTGTTTTCTGGTTGCCATTCAACGACCAATCCTCGGGAAGCCTTCTTAGAGATCTTCGTGGAAAAGACCCCCTCTATTTTTTATCACTTTTTGAGGATGCCTCGTCATCGCCCTGCCCCCGAGAATCCTCAGGCTAGTACTTCGAGGCCAGGGAAGTATAAAGTAAAAGGTGGTGAACAAATTAATAGATTTATGGTTAAGTACAGCGTTTCTCCGAATGTAGAGATAGAGGATTATAATCCGGCTGTGCACCCTCGTACCCTCAATGCCTTTTTATATCAAAGTCATCATAAAAGGCGGAATTAGGTTCCCTTTGCCCCCTCTACTTCTTCAGTTCCTCTCTCATTTCCACCTCTTCCCCAGGCAGTGTTGCCTTAATGTCTTCAGGACAATTATGGGGGTCTTAGAACTCAATAGGCATCTTGGGGTAAATGTCGGGCTGAACGATATCTTTTTTTGTTATTCCCTCTTGAGAGTTATGCTTCAACAACACTTCTATCTCAAAGCCAGAGACCCATCTATGTACCTCGTAATTCACCTTCCTGACTCGGACAAGGGGTACAAGGATGACCTACTTATCTTCAAGGGATCTTAGCAGAGAGGTGTCGGTCCCGAGTATAACAGCTTGTTATGCCATTTGAAATGGAGAACGACAAGTACATCGGTTCCTTCGGGTCTATTACTTTGTTTTTTGAGATTTTCTACGTGCTCATGACCCACTCCCCTCTTTTTGCTTGTACAGACATCTCCCCTCGGGAAACAGCTCCTCCACCTCGGTCGTTGGTGAACTTTGCGGACCTAGTTACTGTTTGGAGATTCACTGGTGACGACAGACTCAGCCAGGCTGCCCACATCCTCCTGAATTACACTCCCGGATATAAAAAGTTTTCATAGCTTCCCCAGCCTTTCGAGCCTTTCGAGCCTTCGCGGTGGTCTGAACTCTTCGATCAGGTGGTGGGGCAAGAAGTCGAGGAGAACTTGGAAGAAGACCCTGACTGGGCTTCGGAGGCAGAAGTAGAGGGTGAAGTTGAAGAGCTCGGGGTCAGAGAGGACTTGGTTCCTTCGCCCGCCGAGATGGGGACTTTGGGGAAAGATTCGTGGCCGGACTTCCAAATCCTACAATCTCTAGACGCCGAGGACGTCCTCGAGGTAGCTATGTCCAGCACGCCCCGCATTGATCTAGGGTTCCTGAGACAGAGGCAAGCCCTCACTGCCGGGAGGGGACGAGGATTGAACGATGGGGCCCCGTCTGCAGGGACCAGCGCCACCCCATCCTCAAGAATCGTCAGTCGGGGTCAAGTGCGTGACCGGGATCCT